GCGGTTCGAATCCCTAGCGCCGTGTAATATTGTGAGCTCCTGTTCCTTATCCCAGCTTCTGCCAACCTAGCAGTTCAAAAGCATGTAAAAAAATGCAAGTAGAAAAATTGGAACCAGCTTTGGTGGGAAAGTAACAGTGCTCCTTTGGCATTTAGTCATGCCGGCCACATGACCACGGAGACGTCTTCAGACAGTGCTGGCTCTTTGGCTTTGAAACGGAGATAAGCACCGCCCCCTAGAATCAGGAACGACTAGCACATATGTGTGAGGGGAACTTTTACCTTTATTTTATAATTTTTTTAAGTGGGGAGGGGTCCTAAGAGATGAAAGCCTAAGATAGCCAAGGCAGCCATCTAAGCTGATCCCCAGACCTGCCTTTGGGTTTATGGGATGGGCCCTTGTTCGGTGGGTGTTTGGTTTTGTGTTGTGCTATTGTTGTTCATCATTTCAGTTGATGTGGCTGTCAAGGATAGTCATATCAAGATATGACTCCGGGCTTCAGGGAATTATTTGTAACCCGTTTAAGGATTGAGGAACTCTGGAGAAATGAGGACAGAAAATGCATCAAACCATAATGATAAAGATTTTAAACGCCTTGATAAAAAAGGAAACACTTGGTCTAGCTTGCAAGGAGACATGGTTCGGGGCTCCAAGCAGATTGTTCCAAAGGAAGGCATTTCAAAAATGGAGGGCCATAACTATAGAAGCCCATCCTTTGTGCCCGTCCACCTCCCTTCAATTTATGGAGTTGCTTAGAAGACTTCTGAGAATGGCAAGAGGACTTGGGCTGGCTTTCCCTGAAAGGCATCCCTTGAGATATTCAGTTCTTGGTTTATCTCCAGGCAAACGAGCAAAAAAACCCATTAAAAATGTCAAAACAGTTGGACTGCCTGGACTAAAATGATCTAACAATAACTCAGATCAAAGAACACCCCCCCTCCAAAAAAAAACCCCTCCCCAAAATACAACAATACAATCAAATCCAGGTCTGGGACCAAAGCCAGGTTTTAAGAACTGTCAGGAAATCTAGGACGACCTTTGTGTGTGTGTGTGTGTGAGAGAGAGACCTTTTCTCTGAAGAGATGCTGTTCCAGACCCTGGGGGTCTTCCCCAGAGAAGTAAGTGTTCGTTTTTTTCAGTGAAGCCGGTCTATCAAGGCAACCTGGTGTACCAACTATGGGACAGAGCATACTGTTTCTGCTTTCACCTTTCAGCCCCAATCCAGGAGCTTTCGTAGAGAGCCGCTTTTGCGATAAACTATTTTTGTGTTGAATGTATATTTACCGGTATAGCCGACAAAGCAAGGAGAACCTGTGCCCTAGAAGTTAATACATCTTTCTAATATGCAAGTAGCCCAGGTTCGAATTCCAGAAAGGGTATGGCTAGCTGATGAGAACAAAATAGCTTGAAATAGATCTATATTTGTTGTTGTTGTTAGTTGCGAAGTCGTGTCCAACCCATCGCAACCCCATGGACAAAGTTCCTCCAGGCCTTCCTGTCCTCTACCATCCTCTGGAGTCCATTTAAGCTCACACCAGCTGCTTTGGTGACTCCATTCAGCCAACTCATTCTCTGCCGTCCCCTTCTTCTTCTTTTGCCCTCCATCGTTCCCAGCATGAGGCTCTTCTCCAGGGAGTCCTTCCTCCTCATTAGGTGGCCAAAGTATCTGAAT